ATTCGTCTGGGAGGATAAAACACTGACTTGTACATCGGCTGGCCCCCGCAAGTCATTGTATAGGCCACATCGCATTCAATAAGCCACTACGATTCTGAATGGAAGTAGAATGCGTGCCGCATCCCACAAAGGGATTGATCAACGGCGAAGACTTTATCCTTTTATCCTTAGATAAATTAGCGTTTTATTTACTGGTCTGTCTGGTCAGGCTGTCTAGACCTAATAAGTCACGAGATCAGGTACAGTAGCAAAACTGTACTCCAACAAGTGATAAACAGACCCTGACGGCAAAATCATGCTAGCCCATGTTCAAGCGACATGTGCTAGAAACACGATAAACTACAATGGTTCTCAGGGCTTAGCCGACGCGACCGTCTGTCCGTCCACTCATTTCGATATCATCATATTGAACGATATTGAACGAACGGTAAGTTTTCCGGATGGTGTCTGCTCCTCGCGACCTCTTAGATACCATTATTTACTGAACATTATTTACTAGGGAGTCGCTACCTCTTTGATAGCATTATTTGTTAGGGGTCGCTTAACCCCCTTGATACCATTATTTGCTAGGCGCTCGTTTAGACTCTCCTAGTTACGCTTGAACTCTTCTAGACTCTATTCTTTGTAAGGTGTATTTGCTCCCCGTATCAGCTCTGGGTGCCTATAAAAGGGGGTGCCCCGCTGATACGGGGCGCATTGCCACGAGTTCGGTTCGAAATAAACCTTAAAGAGCCAACTCTACCAAAATCACTGATCGCACAAAACACAAGCCCCTGATGGGGACGACTTGGTGCATCGACCGGGAACGCTGTATGCTACTTCTGATATCAACGTAATCTAGGCTTTATGAGCTGGTTCTGGTCACATCATTATTCTTTTGACCATTTTTTGATTCTTTTGGTGTTATCCTTTATTAGCCTCATTAAAAATTGGAGGCTTGAGTTCACTATTTTTGCAATTATCACAATAGTGATTGGCCCAAACATGTAGGTGATTCCTAATGCAATAGTTGTTACACCTACTGCTGCAAGTGTTAGCTTCCACTTGCTCTTTATCACATTTATTATTGGTTCCAGGTCTGGAACATGGAAACCTTTTAATGATGGCCATGCTGCGGATGCAGTGTTCCCTTCTTCGAACATATTTTCGGGAAAATATTCTCACGTGGTAGTGTAACTGTCCTCTCAATTCCAAGGATAGTTTATTTTGTGCGATGAGAGATTTATTAAATTGTAGTGCGATTTTTGATGTTCTATTGGAGGGATCGCACTCCACCGTAAATGCCATGTTTTCGCACTGGATTGTGATGGTGGACTCAAGTGCTGTTGTGCAATATGCTCTGAGTTCAGCTCCTTCTTGGCTGTTGCAGCCACCCTTCACGGTGCTGAGTCCGACGGAACATCATTGTTCCATGATGAATTCTGCACTACTGATCAGTAAGCTTGATTTGATGGCAAGGGTTACCTCGCTCTTCGTGGAGTGAGCGTAAATCTGCATATCGTCATAGCTTAGATCTACAGATGGAGTGTATATTGGCAGCCGATTTTCTATCTCTGCTCTAATGTCCCTTATTGCTTGTTGTGGACAATGACAAGATTGTGGCGTTTTGTAGCTATTGCAGTTACATACCATCTGGTTACTGCAGTTGGCAAAGTTTTTTGCTGCTATGTTCGCCGTAGGGCAGCGCACTGGTAGCTCAAAGTTGTTAGGAATTACTAAAGCTTCTTCCTGTGAGATTGCAAAGCGTTGATCGAAAAGGGATGAGCTTGGTCTCTGAATTGATATCACTGTGAGAGCTATCTCTTCATGCGATTGTGTGACGTAGGCATGAGAGTGAATTCCCTGTGTTGTTCCATATTATGGACTTTGAATTCTACTTCGAATTCGATTAAGGGTGTCCAGTCTGCAACTGACGACCTCATACACTGGTTTTGATATCGGTATCTGGGCAACCCTGATGAATGAACATGCTTGTACAGGCAGAAAGCATCCACATAATAGTCCACCGCAAGTATGCTCACAAGCAGAGTATCCCGGATATTTGTTGGCTACCTGTAGTTCCTCTACGTTTTCGTGAGGTTTTAAGGTATTACACCTGTTCTGAGTACAGGATCCTGCCTCTGCACATCTTGTTTTGTGGAAGATTTTGTGCTTCGTGTCTCGTGTGAAGAATAGGAGTGTTTCGAGCACACCAATTTGAGCGGTTTTTGTCGGATTTTTATCATTCCAATTGTTCTGTTTTCGTATCTGGCGTTGATACAGAGTTCCGATTGGATGTGGTTGAACAGAACTTCTTGATTATACTCGTAAGAGCAGTTCCCTTTATTGTTGCAGATCAGATCTACAGTGTGTCTCATGTACCCGTGTTGACAGGCTTGTGAGCTGCTCAATATGGCAAGGAGAACTACCACTGTTGCTACTCTTGTGGAGACGCGTGTCTCCCTCCGCGCGACCTCTCAGATACCATTATTTACTAGGGAGTCGCTACCTCTTTGATAGCATTATTTGTTAGGGGTAGCTCAACCCCCTGATACATTATTTGCTAGGCGCTCTTTTAGACTCTCCTAGTTACGCTTGAACTCTTCTAGACTCTATTCTTTGTAAGATGTATTTGCTCCCCCGTATCAGCTCTGGGCGCCTATAAAAGGGGGTGCCCCGCTGATACGGGGCGCATTGGCAACAGTTCGGTTCGAAATAAACCTTGAAGTGCCAACTCTATCAAAACCACTGATCGCACAAAACACAAGCCCCTGATCGAGACAAATGGGTTGTCTACCACTTATTTCCTGACCGGCAGGCGCTAACCCAAGGGAAGTCAACTCTTCGTTGGCCTTTGTATCTGGATAGAACAGCCTCCATCTTATTATCGTGATCACAGAACCTCTTGCAATATACCGCGAAGCATAATGATAGTTCCACCAAGGGAATTTCGCGAAATCTCGCCTTACACGATGTTTTCGGAGTTGCCTTCAAGTAGGAAATGTGATGATTGCCTACCAGTTCGCCAAAACCAAACCAATTCAAAGAGACATGTTTTTTGAAAAGTAGTCATTCCGACAATGACGCAACTTGATAGTACCACTGCATGTTTTCGCGCTGCGTTTCATTTTTCTTCGGTAAAAGCGTTGCATAATTAGGACCTTCTGCATTTTTTAAACCATAGAGAGAGGATATTCATTATCGGATTCCGTAAAAGGACAGCTTACTGGTCGGATCGCACCTTACTTGGGCCGCATCATCATGCTGTCAACAATTTTGTCAAAAGAACCCTGCAAGATATGGAATCAAGGAGAGCTCTGGACGTCCTTCTTTGCTCTTCGATCGGGAAAAGCCCCGTATTTTGAGCGAACGCTTCAGAATTCTACGATGTCGTGCCTGGAAATTGAGTCGAAGCTCAATATCTCGGAACATATGCCCAGCAAATCTTGAAGAAGCCCGAACCATTCTCCAGAGGAGACTTATAAAGACACTATTCTTAAAAAAAAACTATTGCAAAAGCCGATCGCTTTTGCTTCAAAGATGTTGCCGAATCGACACTGCTAAGACAGCTTTTGGCTGCGGTGTCCTGATTCTGCTTCATTAGGGTTTTTTTCAGGATTGTTCTTCTGCCCCCCCCCCCTCCCTAGCGAGCAATTCCGACCTTAACCCAATCGAAAATTATAAGGCTTGATGGTGCGTAAGATCCAAGCGTATAAGGAATCAATTTGTTCGGTGAGTCTATCATTTTGGGTCATTGTTAAGTGATCACTTTACAAATAAAAAAACGAAGAAAACCTGTTCTTTGAAGTAAGCATTTGGTGTTCACGTGCGAAACTAGCATGGGTAATCACAACCAAATCACAATCATGGTTTCTTATAGAAGAATTTTCGTAAGCGTCGTTCGAAAAGGGATTTTGCAGCATTTATGAGCAGAACTATCATTATGCCTCATTAGTGCAGCTGAGTGCATGCGTTTCACAGCAGCTTTTCAAGGAGTTCAACACAGGGAGATTTTATTGGCTACTTCTGTCTGGACCGATGCGTGATACATAGGAACCTTTGAGCCACATTGAAATAAGTTGTGATTTCGAAAGCCAGTCGAAAGGGCCTTGAGTGTCTTCAGCAGACTACAAGCACTGGCGTACCCTTATAGGTGCGATGCGTATAATAACACTTCCTGTGTGTTCCGCGATGAATCGTCTCCTACGTTTTTTCCACAAGAAACACCTGCTTCATCACACCGAATGAATGGGCGCTTGTACCACGCAAAAACCACGGAAAGCGTGGGAAGTAGCGTTCACCTGATGAGAACACAGGGGGAAAGAAAACTTTTGGCAACAGTTTGAAGCCAGCGAAGTAGTATTTCACTCCGAAACAGCGAATACAGGCACGCGTAGTACAAGAGCCTTCCGCTCTACTGGTTGTCGTGGCACGTGTGATCAAATTGGTTTAATCGAAAGCCTATTTTTGGCCACATGTACTTTCTCTGACCTTTGATGAAGCGATTTTTCAATGGCGATCTTATGTCGAAAGATCTCGACTCCTTCCAAAAGGATTCCACGCACAGCCCCAGAAAGAAGGCCCTCAAGCAAGGTAAAAGCTTCAAAGGAGAACGGGACAAGGCCACATTCACCGGACCTAGTTTACACTAAATTTCACATCTTTGTGGTAATTCCCCTATGTTTTCTCAACTAAGACTTGACCAGATCGAGTGATTAATTTCCGAAATGTTCATAGAATCACTGACCTGTAGTACATCAGAGATCCATCATTTTGTTCCTCAGTGACCAGGCGTATATTCAGGTCGTTGTCGGCGTGAATACTCCAAAATCTGCTGTTCTTCATAACCAGTCTTTTCGAATCAGTCAACAAGTCGAACGAGTATACATTGTGGTAGCTGAACACTACAAATCAACAAACTAAGTAATTAATAAATGAAAGAAACAGGTCTTTCCAGCGATCGAAACAAAAAAGATTATGAAACAAGATTTGAAAATGTATGTCCGCGCTGACAAGTAGGCGTGGCCGTCGGGGCGGGGCTCGCAGTGGTGTCTGGCGTGATCTGGTTGATGAATTGCCCGGTCTAATAAGTGTGGTGAATTTGACTTCTAGAGTGACGGTGAATTTGGTTTGAAAAGTGGTGAATTTGGTTTGATAAGTGGTGATTTGCTTGAAACAGGGTGAATTTGGTTTGAAAATTGGTGACTTCAAAGTGAAAATGGTATATATAGTTATAACAATTGTCCCTGTTCTGTCATTCGCGCTAGCTTTCATTCGTTTTCTGTTGTTGTTTTGAAGTGACTGTGAAATTCGTTCTCTTGCAAAGCCCGATTGACGATGGGTCTTGTTGTTCCCGAAAGACTTGTAATCACCCCAAAAATAGCCAAAAAATAAAAAGGACAACCAAGATACTGATGATTAGACAAACACATCACGCTAGACTGGCCAAGTTCTGTTGCTTGGTTTCCTACCCGCAGAAGCTCCAATGGATGAAAGTAAAGCTTTGCTCTGAGATTTAGCTTGCATTCAACATCAATACTAGTCACTCATTCAGTGAGATATGGTATGATACAATGACATCCAAGGCTAGCCGATGTACAAGTCAGTGTTATTAGGTTAGACGATAAGTAATGACGTTTTTTACACAAATTTGTATATGGAAATGACAATTGTTCCAAATGTGTTTTATACTGTTTGATAGATAATTTTCCGCACTAGAATCTAGTGGAAAAGTTTGTATCTCTTGATTTCTGACGATTTTTATTT